GTCAGTGAAGAGTCTCCATACTGCTGGTACCCCGGGCTAACTACTCATCTTGCCTTCCCCCCTACGAGTCTTGTGGCGTCGAGAGCCCACAGACGCTTCCTGCTGCAACATTCTCTCCAGGTACAGGTTTTCAGTATCTTCCATTTTACTCGTTGTCACTCTCTTAACTTCATCTTTTCCATTCTGTATGCTTCCTATGAGTATTTTGTCTTTTAAGATAGCTGAAATATTTAACATGCCTCTTTTTATAAGCTATTTTTAGATTCTCTTTTGTGTGTGTTACAAGGCAGTTGTGGTCAAGGCCCTTTGGGAACAAGCAACGGAATCAGTAAAGAAACAAGATTATTATGGCCTGGAGAGAATGATGCACCTAGGTGTAACCAGAGGGTCTAGCCAGCTCACTACACTCAGAGGAAAGGCAAGACGGACATATAACCAGATTGTGACTGGTACCATCAGTATTGGAATTCTGCACTGGCTGCTGAAGATGAGGACGGAGCATGCATGGGAATGCCCCGAGTGCTGTAATGTCAGTTCTTGACTCAACTCAACTCTTGTATGTGTTTTAACTGTATTAGATTTTTACAATATTTTCTGATAAGCTGTTGGTTGTGGTATGAAATTGTAAATGAATGTTGTCAAGAGAATGACCTAATCTTGTATGTCCATTAAATTATGTGGTATGTTATTTTTGTCATACTGCACATATAATGTGATACGTTTTAAATAATAGCTTATTTTATTAAACATTTTAAAATTGTGATTGCTTTCAACAACTGTATACTGATGACGCTCTATAAACTGATCAGAATCCTTGTAAATAACATCTTTTCTTACAGGGAAACCATTACCAATGTACAGTGGACTGGGTATGCCAAAAAAATTCCAGTGCTGTTGTTTAGTGTGGATGCAATGCACAAGAGAAAATCAAATTTCAGAACGATTGCTGGTAAGAAGAAAAGCAATTTTGTTTATTTTTGTTTTTTCATCCATTCTGTGAGATTCAATGATTATGAGCACAATATGACTGATTTGGTCAGTGGGAGCCTGGAGAGTTCTTAAGCAGCCGGGAAAGAGATAGTTAACATACCAGAAGAGGGGTTTGCCTCACTAGACTTTCTTGCTATCTCTGCGGCCTCACTGGTTGCTTCACCAAGATAAATAAGTGTACGCCATCTAGATTGATACTGGCTGATAGCTTCCAGTGTGTCTGAGTTTTTCTGCAAGATTTGAGAACTTTCTGAAAAGTGTCTTTGTAGCATTCTTTTTTTTCCTACTGTCTGGAAATCTTTTTCTTAGACTAGTTTGTCATAAAATATTCTCTCCAGAGGCTTCCAGAGGTCTGGCATGCAGTTCCTGTGAACCTGTTATTTATTCAGCATCTTTTGGATATGAATAATACATATTCACACCAACATTTATAGAAAATAATGTAATTATAATTACACACACGCACACAAACACAACTATATATGCACCCACTCAGACACACACATACATACACATATGTAGAAAATGCTGTAAAGATAGTCTTACCCACACTTATACACTCACACACCCACTATATCGCACACTCTCTTTTTCTCTTCCTTCCTCCCTTTCTACCTCCCCCTCTCTCTTTTTCTCTTCCTTCCTCCCTTTCTACCTCCCCCTCTCTTCCCTCTCCCTCCCTCTTTCTCTCTCTGACACACACACAAAAAATATATATGACAAATAGATAAATTTATATACATAGGTTGGAGAAAAAACTCCTAGCTACATGACCTTTTGGCAAAGGTCACATAATGTACTAAGTATCCACCAGAATAAGAGTTCTGCACATGAGCCCCCACTTGTCCTGACAGCCATACAATTGACCAGAGAGTTAAACTGGTTAGAAAAGAGTCTTTCTACTATTAGGAATTTAAATCTAGGCTACTAACGAGGCAGTCCTTTTAAGCTTATATATTGTAAAAGATCCTCTATACACCAGTGGTGTGTCGAGCATACGAGGCTAGACTCCTATTGTTATAGACCTGTCAGCCCTCGATGGATGATGGGGTCAGTATCACACTGGCCATCTTTACTTCCCATGACTTTTACCTAGTTCCCATTTAGGACTAGGTCAACCTGGCAGCCATGGTCCTGTCTGGCAAAAATCCAGATATGAACCCACGACCTTTGGATACACAGGCGAGTATCTAGCTGCTACACCACGTTGGCTGCCTTATGCATTGTACATTCATAAAAATGCTTCCGGCTACCAGGGTTAAAAGAGCAGATTTTTTAATTTTGTAACTTCCAAGGGCAGACAACTCAGAAATTGTGGACTAAAATAACAGTTCTCCAAAAGCTGGAGGACATGACAAGATAGCGTAAATCTTTTTGATTGCTTCTTGCAATGCTATTTATCATTTTCTGTCTGGAATTTTCAGAACAATATAATCTTACCTTCAAATTTTCATCAAGTGACTGCAAGATAGTACGGACAATTTTATCATCTCACGGATTCATAGAGGTATTGTTACAAAAATGTGTAGTTTGTTCCCATATATAAAAGGAATATATTTACAAGTAACACATTTCTGGTCTTTCAGACTAGTTATTTCTCTCTTTGGGCATCTGCAGTAAACACTTCGGGAACTGAAACAATTAGCGATGTTCATTTCTATATAGGAATGGTGAAAATTAACTGCAGAAGATTTTATATTTATTATGTGAAGATAGGGGTTATGCAAACAGTTATGTTTGAAATGATATCAAAATCAGAATTGTGTGAATAGAAACATTATGTGGGGACATAAATTATGTAAAACCATAAATTGTGTGCAGAGGAATTAATATGAAATGCCAAGCAGTGCTTAATGTAAATGATGTGAACAACTGTAATCAGTGAACCGATACAGGTGTTGTATGAATATACTCTCAGAGAGTGATAAATACACGGATGGCCTTATACAATGTTAAAATAGGTGTCATAGCCCTGTAAGAAGGGTATGGGACAGAGTAAACATGATACGACTTGTAACTTCATGTTTGTGTTTGACGGACCAAAAAGTGCACCAGCGGTCAGCCAGCTGAACTGATGATATGGGGAAAACCGATTATAACTAGAACACGTACTAACACGTTTTTACCCGGAGCTGAACGGGGTGGAAGGAGGGCGGTTAGACATGGACGTGTGAGGCTGAAGACATCTAGAGACGTGATAGATTGTATTGTGTTAGGAGTTGAAAGATAGGGACTGTTTGCGTTGTCGTCATATGTGTTGGTTAGCTGTTGGTATTCCTCGTGTGCTTATAGTATGCTAAGACAGTTGTGTTGGGCTTGTATCGTGTTTAGGTAGTTGTTCTTGACTATGGGTTATTAGAGTTTAGCTGCGTTTTGTGCTGCCGTTGACACTGCCCGCTAATACTTGAACCACTTACCCCACGTGTGCCACTGAGTCTCGCATGGCGAGGACCGCAGCCTAGTTAGCGGTGTACGACAGTGAGGTGGAATCAAGTCCCCTGGTACATCCATGGGAATGGCTCGGGGTGGATAAGTAAATATAAATGCTGCCACTGCGGGAGTTTCGGATAAGGGACTGTCCATAACTGTGGAGGTTGCTTTAGGTTGTATTGTTCTTTGTTCATTAAAGATTATGTGTGTACTCAATATGTGTGTGTTTTTAGTGTGTTCTAGTATAGTGTGTCTGAGACTCATACCGTCCCCTGAGCCATTTGAGTTTCCCCCTCCCCCCCAACCTCCAATTTGACTAACGATGCTACTGTCCCATTCCGCTCCCTCTGACTCCTCCAGTACCCCAAACGGACAGTAACGCCCACTTTAGGAAACAATGGTCTAGCTCCTTGCTATCGTGTCTCACACTGCTAAAGGAGAATGACAGTTGCTATGCAAACTTCAAATTTGAAGGGAGATTACAGGGAAATATACTTTTATCAAACTCATTCTCCAGGGGGGCTAAATAAAAAATACGTAGGTACTCAATAGAAGTAACTCAAGTGAATGTTAACGTTTAGTAATTGTGGAGCAGAAAGACAGACCCCTGAGCACATACTGCAGTACTGCCCTAACCTCTCCCAGCAAAGATTGTGGATCTGGCCCAAGGGAGCCACATTGCAAGAGAAGCTATGGGGGACCGGTGACGACCCTAAATGCACAATCCTATTTGTGACCCAGACGGGACTCAATGTTTAGCATGACTGATTTCAAACACAGAAGAAGAAGAAGAAGTGATTGTGGCAGTAGTTTTCTACAGGACATAGATGTTTATCGCTCGTTGTGCAGTCCTGAGGGGGTTAAACATCAGCCAGCCACATTACAGGTGAACTCCGTCCCACTATGGGATGCAGTTTTTTGTTATATAAAGCCGTATCTTGGTTATCCTTGGGGCCCTAATATAGTCTAATGGTTGAACAAGGTTTCTGGGACTTGTGCAGGGGAATTCTCATCCAAATGGTTGCACTTTGTGTCACTAGCTGTTAGTTGCTGGTTGTGCATTCTTGTGGGATGGAATGTCACTCTCTCACTCACTCACTCACTCACTCACTCACTCACTCACTCACTCACTCACTCACTCACTCACTCACTCACTCACTCACTCACTCACTCACTCACTCACTCACTCACTCACTCACTCACTCACTCACTCACTCTCTCACTCACTCACTCACTCACTCACTCACTCACTCACTCACTCACTCACTCACTCACTCAGTAACTCACTCACTCACTCACATTACCATTCAAATGGCTACCATATCTAGACAAGATTTGTTTTGTAACCGTAGGGGCTCTGATATAACCTTTGGGTTGAACAGGCTGTCTGGAACTTGTCCCTGGGGGATTCTCATCCAAATAAAGATGCACTGACTTTGACACTAATGGGGTTAATTTCACTCACTCCACATTACACCTAAAAATACTGTAAATTGTGGTAAAGATACTCTCTAAATATTGCAAGCATGCTAAGTTCACTGACTTCTCTCTCTCTCTCTTTTTGTCTTTTATTTCCGCAGGCCAAACCAGGCAGTACGGAGTATAATCTGCTGTGGTGCAGTTCACACCTGAAGCCCAGCACACTCAGATTTATGGCAGATTTCCAAAAAATCAACCATTTCCCTAGGTTTGCAGTCAGAACTGTTATTGTTTACTTAACATATATTTAACTGTTGCTTATTTCTGCATTCGGTAACAACTCTTTGACTTAACAGAAGGTTTATGTTTTTAGAGTTTATGGCACTTGGAATGATAGAACCATGTGTGTACTAGGAAAGTGGAAATTGGTGATGAATATTAAGAAATTATCACTAGGACAAAATGAAACAAAAAGTTTAGTAAGAGTTAAAAGTGAATGCTGGTCTGAGTCTTGAGAACTTTCAAATAATGACCCTAAATACGGGCCATTCATTTTTTTAACGATTAAATATTAGTGACCTTTACATTATTTTTAATCATATGCGAATCAGTTTTAGAAATATATAATTTTTTGCTATAATGTATTGGTAAAATCAAATATAGACATCCTTATACATATAAGACATGTTTTATGTCACTGATATTTGCATATATATTATGTGATATATTGTTTCATTATGTATTATCCTTTTAAAAGCCATTTAACTGTCTGTTCAGAGTTGTAGGTGAAGCGTCTGATTGTTTTCCACACTGAGAATCTTAATTTCAGGTCATGTGAACTCACAAGAAAGGACAGGTTATTTCGAAATATTCAGAGAATGCAACTGATGAAGGTAACTGTGTCCTAACAGCCATTTTATCTTATTCACATCGATATTAACAGTTGTATTATGTAGAAGATATAACATGATCAGAATTTGAATTTCCCAAAGTATCATAGCTATATATATATATATATATATATATATATATATATATATATATATATATATATATATATATATATATATATATATATATATATATATATATATATATATATATATATATATATCAGGTGCAGTCTTCACAATGAAGGTTGGCTGCAGTTAAATCCCCGACATACTCTATCTCTTGTAATGGTTGTACACTGTCTCAGACTATTTGCCCATCTCTTGATGTTGTCGTCCCACTTGTATCATTGTCTTCCTCTTGCCTTTGATCTTTCTTTCGAGTGGGGCTTATATATATATATATATATATATATATATATATATATATATATATATATATATATATATATATAGATATATATATTCCTAAAATGTTTCCATATATTATAAAAATATACATCATCAAACTGTGAAATGTTGTAATATCTGGAAGGGATCGTGATAAGCATGGGTAATCTCTTGAATTACAAACAGAAAGAGAGGTTGCTCAGTTTAAAACTACTGTGGCACTACTGACATTGACAAAATTATCTATTATTGTTTATTTCAGGTAAAAGATTTCAGTATTGCACTATCTCGCCATGTGGGTTCCAGGGCCCTATTGTAGGGTAAACAAGAATAGAACCACTGCCTACCCAAAAGCATGTTGTAAGAGTCGACTAATTGGGAGCTTCCTTCGAAGTCGGAGTGCATCTGCCTGAGAGGCAAGGAACCAGCAGTCTGCATACAAATGAGTCAGATCAGTAAAAAAGATGCACACGCAACACTCATGTTCTGGAACAGGACTGCAGTCTGAAAGTGGATGAACAACCAGAACTTTCCGTCAGAGTTTACAGCTGGCGAACACGAAGAAGAAGAAGACATATTGCACTTAGTTGTATGTTAGCTTCATTCTGCACACTGCTGCAGAAATAAAATCTACTTTTACACATCTGCTGCACTTTTCAGGGTCACAGACACTTTGACTTTATTCCTGCTAGTTATGTCTTGCCTGGGGATTATCATGAGTTTTATGGTAAGTTCTGTTGTGAGTGTCGCTCTTGTATGTTATTGTTGTGTGCTGTTTGCAGGTTCATTCAGCAGGGAATATTGTAGGAACCCCATGGCAGCATGCACACTGCATCAAAATGTCTAGTTGACCACCCCCCCCCCCTCCCCTCCCACCCCCACTATCTAACTTAAGACCACAAACAACATGGGGACCTACAAAAAACAAGATGACTGATGGTGATTACAGTGATATGTCCATGTGTGGGTTCCGGGGCCCCATTATGTGGAAAACAAGAATAGACCCACTGCCTTCCTAACAAGCATGTCATAAAAGTAAACAAATTGGGGGTTCCTTCAAAGTCAGATTGCATCTGCCTGAGAGGCAAGGAACCAACAGTCTGCATACAATAAAGTCAGATCTGTAAACCAGATGTGCACACAGCACTCAGGTTCTGTAACAAGTCTAAAGTTTAGAGGTGGGCGAACAACCAAAACTTTCAGCCAGAGTTTACAGCCGGTGAACGCCAAGAAGGAGACAATAACATAGCCTGGAAAACTCAAATGCACCGTCACCTCAAAGATTTTTATATTTTATTTTATTGTTTTACAAAAGCACCCACAGTGAAGTGTGATAAAGATGAATAATGCATACTAATATTAATAATAATGCAACCTTCTGACACTGCCAACTTGCAGCTCAGTCACGGAGGACCATTTTTTTTTTCTGGTTTTACTCAATGGTACGCAAAACGGGCACCTTTTATTTTCTAATGGCAAAATTTTTCAGTGCTACTGTAATAGACACTGTAGTGCTTACTGGCATCTTTTTTAGACACTTCGTATTGAGCACTGTCACCTTTGTTTCTAGAAAATAATCCCTATAGGTAAATGTATTACGTAAAGTCCGCTTTTCACACCACTGGTGCTTTGGGGACATGATACTGAACTCATTTTTATTTTAATAATCAAGCCATCCATCGATGGATCATGTGGTCAGAAAAACTCTGTGGGCCTTCTTTACTTCCCAGGACATTACCTAATACCCATTCAAGGCTGGTTTGACCTGGGAGTCAAGGTCAGTTTGTCAAATCTGCCTGAACCAGATTTGAATCCAAGATCTTTGGACTGGCAGGTGATGCTCTAGCCACTGCACTGACTCAGCTCCCCATTTGTTCATTAATTTTTTCATCTAAGTGAACCATGTTCAGCTGACTCCTAGAAAGCAATTTCTAGGAAGTTTTGGTTATAACTATGGGACCAAATCTTGCTGTGATTTCATTAGGTGATTCTTTTAATGCTGGTAGTTGTTGCCTGTTTGCCTCCCATGTTTGTCGGGTATTGTATTGATGAGGTCTTCTCCGTCTTGTGGTGCTGGATGGAATGCAGTCGTGTTGATACTGACTGGTCAGTCCGGTTCTCACTGTGCTATTTGTTGAAAGCTGCAAATACGTGGGACTGCTTCTATCCCAGGTTTGACAATGACGACCTGTCAAGTGTGATTGGTCTATAAAATATTAGGTAAGCTTCATATAGATGTGGAAACAGGTCAGCCTTTAAAAAAAAACACAAATCTGTTCACAGCACATTTCCAGAAAAATAAAGGCTTGTACATTGTAAAGCCAGTGGCCTCGTCCCAAGGCAGAGGAGTCTTTCTTGTCAGTCATGTAAGTTTTACTCACAAACACTGCAGTTGTTGCCACTTGTTAAGAGTAGTTATTATTCAGCACAACTCTTGATTAACAGAATGTATTAAATTGAAAGTGAAACTGTTAATTGTGTGTAGATTAAAATATTTCATCTGTGGCCATGTTCACTTGTTAACAATTGGTCACATTAGTACACTGTCTCCTTGAATTACGACCTGTGCCACTTAAAACCCTAGGCACTTAGACCACACACAAAAAAATAAAAAATAATAAATTTTAAAAATAAAATACATTGGTTGTAAAAAAAACCCTTTAAAAAAACCATTTTACATATCACTAAAGAAATTATTTAAATATTTAGTTTTTAAATATTTTAAACATTAGGGAGCTGTTGTGGTGTACTGGCTAGATGCTCGCCTGCTAATATGAAGGTCAGGGGCTCAAATACTCGTGGAGACGGATTTCTTTTTCAATGTTTAAGTTTTAAAGTTTTGAACAACGGATCAACATCATGGCACACGAGTAGTAACCCATAAGTGCTCAGCGCAGTACACGAGCTCCGTAGCACCGGTGAGGATCTTGAAATACTTTGTGTAAATTTTTTAAAACTCTAAACTTTGCCTGGGAGGCACTGTTAGGCTATTGTTTTTGATTTCTAAGCTGCCAAGAGATTTTTGTATGTGCACAACAATACACACAGTTGTCCTATCTCACTACCCAGAGACCAGGGGAAATTACTAGAAGTCCAGGAGAAAAAATCCCAGCCTAAACTCGGGACTACAGCACTCTAGGCGGATGCCAGGCCTTGAGACCATGCAGCCCCCTCCTCCCCTTTCTTTGATTGTATATGTGTGAATGCATGGATGCATGTATAGGTGTGTATGTATGGAATGTGTGTGTGCATGTATATCTATAAATGTATGTGTATGTGTTTTATCTTTGTATATGTGTGTAGATGCGTGTGTGTATGTATCACGTATGTCTGTATATGAGTTCGCATGTATAAGAACGTAGGAGTATGTGTGTGTGTGTGTGTGTGTACGATTGTGTACACATGATGTGTGTATACATTATTCTATAATTTATATTTTTTTATTATATTCATAACATGCATTATTGATAACAGGCATTGGTACTCTGAAAAATTAGTGCTTAGAAGGGCCGAATGTCAGACGGGCCTGAGTGCCCAATTTGTAACCCTTTGAAAATAAAGTTTGTTCGTTCATTCGTTCTTTTTCAAATATGACTTTGGCTCCCAGGTTGACCCAGCTTTAAATGAGTACCAGGGAAGTAAAGGTGGCTGGTGTTATGTTGACCATATCACCCATCCATGTATTGGTCTATCACAATATAAGTCTAGCCTCAAATGCCTGATGTGTCACTGGAATCTTTATTTTTATATATAGATATCATTTATTTTTATTTTTACATTTTTTTATTTTTTTAAATTTGGCGTTAAAATATAGGAAGCGTAATCAATAAAACACAAAGCTGATAATTCAATGAATACATTCCCTTAGTCTAAAATTATATACAGTGACCCTGTCACTAAGCTATTTTTGTTCCACATTCACAGCCACCCCCTGCTCCAAGTACAGATAGTTATTAGTAAATATAATCATATCTACTTTTGCTAAACACTGCGCAGGTGCAGACAGAACCATTGCCATTAACTAGACTTGTCACAGACTGGCCAATGCAGAAAAGCCAGTTTAATGGCTTTGCAGGGAATTTTAACAGATGGGGAAGCTGGATTTTTGGTGTCTGAGGTCAATGGGTTAAACATACTTCTGTAAAACAACACCTGTAATGCTCATAGACCAATGCAATTTTGGCTTGTTTACTAATTCTTCAAGCTTCAAGTCAATCTGTTAAAAGTGACTCTGTATTATAAAAATATTAACATGTGTTGATTTATGTTTGAGGAAGGCGAGGCAATGGTCGACCTCTGCGAAGATTGATACAGGACAGGATATTGAAGATGCATTGGAAATGAAAAGCACATGGGATTGGAGAGTTGGCTAGGGAGAGGGATACTTTCAGACATGCCGTGAAGAGAGCGAAGTTCTGTGAAGGACTTGCTTATGATGATGATTGTTTTATTCACAAATCAAAAACTATAGTTTGCTTATTTTTTTGGGTGGGGGGAACGAATAGGCCCACGGCACCCTAACTGGCATGTCATGCAAGGGGACTAAGAAGAGCTTTACTGAAATCAAATGTATGGGGCCAAATGGCATAGCTATCACAGCCTAGCTGTATACCACAACATTATGTCTCAGTCATCCTTTCATGTGTAAACAAAGAAGAAGAAGTAAAAGCTATAGTTTATATACCATGACAAAGACCTATCCTCTCCAAATGATGATAGCTAGTTGTGGGAACAAGCACACTTTGATGCAGGATCAACTGGACACTCCTTGTTCTGTGTAGCATGCTAGGATTCTGTTTCTCATTCCCAGTGACCGGGATTTGTTAGATAAGATATCAGATGGTCTTTTCTCTATTGGATAACGGACCTTTTTCCATGCCTTCAGGCATATTGGGCACATAACCCTAGATTTTATAGATCAATCGGCACTCGTCGGATTATGTGGTCAACATCATGCCGGCCACCTTTACTTCCCGGGACTTCACCTGATACCCATTTAAAGCTGAGTCAACATGGAAGCCAATCATTTCAATTTTTTTAATTTGTGGATTCAAATCCATTCATATTTGAACCCACAACCTTCGCTTCTGCACACAAGCGCCTAGCCTCCACCTCGAATCTCTCCCCAACTTTTGGATAAGGAATGAATATTCTTGCAACACTTTTTATATGATCACCTTTGCATACTAACACAGTCGTTAACATAGTCGACAACCCCTCATATCACAAAAGAATAATACCTCCACCCTTTTACAATTTACAACAAGATGAATTATTTTTTAGGTCAGGAGTAGCTACTGTTGTCAGTTGTTTAATAGTGTAAGATGAAGAAATTGAAGAATTCAGCCTATAATGTTCTGTTTTAACCTGATAGCCTGAACAGGTACCGTTAGACGAACATGTAATCGTGAGCAAATATATATCAGCACCTCTAGTTATTGATGGTAAGAGACACTTGGCTTCAGTTGCTGAAATTGTTGAGTTTTATGCAGTGCTTTGTATTTACATAATTTTTTTTTTTTTGGCTGTTTAATTTTACTAGGCAATTTACCTTTAGTAGTTTGCCATTGCATTCTGAATGTTTGTCTCTTCATATCATTGTCAGAATCAGTATCAGTGCAAATCTGTCTGCTGCCAGATCACCCACAGCTGGGTAGGTCTATTATTTTTTTTTCTCCGAAAGTCCCGGAACCCACACTGGGACATCCGTCCTCTCACCACCTCCCCCATTCAAAACAGTGTTTTCCCGTTGTCAGTTTCAATTTGAGGGTGCAAACAATATATTTCACAATTCATTGTCTGGTAGATTTCCATTCTCAAGATGGCGGTGAGCAACTGTGTTAGTTTTCGGTGGCTGATAGTTCTGTTCGCTTGTCATGGACTGATATTTTGTGTGCATTTCCAACAAAAGATGCATTAATTTGTGCGTGTGTGTGGAAACAGCGTGTATTGTGATTGTGCTAGGTCAAAAAAAAGCTGACGTCAGAATCAGAATGTGACCACAGTGGAATAAGTGCATGACCCAATATCACTGAAAATGCAAAATAAAAAGAAGACAGTCTGGCAAAATCTGCCATATCTAGTCGGGTACATACTACTCCTACTATAGATTTTGTATCAGCATAAGACAAAGAACACAACAGAAATTCTTTCTTAAATGCACAGACAATAGATGTGATTTGTATATCTCAGATAAGAGATTCAGTTTTGCTTCATTATCTGTAATGTAAATTCTGTAGTATGCGAGGTTCATTGAAGAGGCCAGGCAATTAAATAGGCAGTGTATGTTTATGGCCATTGCAATGATGCTTGTTTCCATCCTCATTGATGTGTATATGCTCTGTATTTATGCACACCACTTGCTGTCTGCTAATGCAGCATCAGCTCATCTAGGACTAGAACACAATTGGTTAGCATCATGCCTCTTAACCTGTCTTCCAAAACAAGGCAGGATAGACCAAACTGTTGTACAAGAACAGATACAACTATTTCACAGCATAAAACAGACTAACATTAATATTCTTCTGTAACTACTGTCAGCTTTAATATAGTTTGTCCTCACATCTCCATCAGCAGAATGTTTCAGTGTACATATTTTGGTAGCAATCACAGCTAACTCTTACACAGATCATATACATGATATTCACCTGTCTTCTTCTACTTGTAGTTCACAACTGACCATGAGCTAACGTCTTTCCTCCTTTGTCTCTTTGGCCTTGGGTTTTCCGTGCCACATGAACTCATGCATGGGTCTTCTGCCTAGCTTGTTATGACTGTTAGCTACCATGCAAAACAAGGTCATTAAAGCCTCATTATTTAAATTGAGTCCCATTGGCTTAGTGCCACAAGTGCTCATCAACTGGGCTGTTGTTCCACTGAAAGTATTCCTACCCATTGGCTCAGTGCCGCGAGTGCTCATCAACTGGAGTTCCACTTAAAATATTCCTACCCCTTGGCTCAGTGCCGCAAGTGCTCATCAACTGGGGTGTTGTTCCACTTAAAGTATTCCTACCCATTGGCTCAGTGCCACAAGTGCTCATCAACTGGGGTGTTGTTCCACTTAAAGTATGCCTACCCATTGGCTCAGTGCCACAAGTCCTCATCAACTGGGGTGTTGTTCCACTTAAAGTATGCCTACCCCCTTGGCTCAGTGCCACAAGTCCTCATCAACTGGGGTGTTGTTCCACTTAAAGTATTCCTACCCATTGGATCAGTGCCACAAGTGCTCATCAACTGGGGTGTTGTTCTACTTAAAGTATTCCTACCCATTGGATCAGTGCCACAAGTGCTCATCACTTGGGGTGTTGTTCCACTTAAAGTATTCCTACCCATTGGATCAGTGCCACAAGTGCTCATCAACTGGGGTGTTGTTCCACTTAAAGTATTCCTACCCATTGGATCAGTGCCACAAGTGCTCATCACTTGGGGTGTTGTTCCACTTAAAGTATTCCTACCCATTGGATCAGTGCCACAAGTGCTCATCAACTGGGTGTTTGTTCCACTTAAAAGTATGCCTGCCCATTGGCTCAGTGCCACAAGTCCTCATCAACTGGGGTGTTGTTCCACTTAAAGTATGCCTACCCCCTTGGCTCAGTGCCACAAGTCCTCATCAACTGGGGTGTTGTTCCACTTAAAGTATTCCTACCCATTGGATCAGTGCCACAAGTGCTCATCAACTGGGGTGTTGTTCCACTTAAAGTATTCCTACCCATTGGATCAGTGCCACAAGTGCTCATCAACTGGGGTGTTGTTCCACTTAAAGTATTCCTACCCATTGGATCAGTGCCACAAGTGCTCATCACTTGGGTTGTTGTTCCACTTAAAGTATTCCTACCCATTGGATCAGTGCCACAAGTGCTCATCAACTGGGGTGTTGTTCCACTTAAAGTATGCCTACCCATTGGCTCAGTGCCACAAGTCCTCATCAACTGGGGTGTTGTTCCACTTAAAGTATGCCTACCCCCTTGGCTCAGTGCCACAAGTCCTCATCAACTGGGGTGTTGTTCCACTTAAAGTATTCCTACCCATTGGATCAGTGCCACAAGTGCTCATCAACTGGGGTGTTGTTCCAGTTAAAGTATTCCTACCCATTGGATCAGTGCCACAAGTGCTCATCAACTGGGGTGTTGTTCCACTTAAAGTATTCCTACCCATTGGATCAGTGCCACAAGTGCTCATCACTTGGGGTGTTGTTCCACTTAAAGTATTCCTACCCATTGGATCAGTGCCACAAGTGCTCATCAACTGGGGTGTTGTTCCACTTAAAGTATGCCTACCCATTGGCTCAGTGCCACAAGTCCTCATCAACTGGGGTGTTGTTCCACTGAAAGTATTCCTACCCATTGGCTCAGTGCTCATCAACTGGGGTGTTGTTTCACTTAAAGTATTCCTACCCATTGGCTCAGTGCTCATCAACTGGGGTGTTGTTCCACTGAAAGTATTCCTACCCATTGGATCAGTGCAACAAGTGCTCATCAACTGGGGTGTTGTTCCACTTAACTCTTTGAGTCCCAGGGGGTTTAGCATCACAGGCCCAGGGGGTAGTAAATAAAGTAATAAAATCGGCGCATCATGCGTTTATTGGCTTCTATGTAGGAACCTATGAACACATGATGCGTTCCTTGGGACTCAAAGAGTTAAAGTATTCCTGCTGTCTGGCTTTTGTGGAAAGAATAATTTCTTGGTTTACCATGTGGGTTGCCATGGCCCCGTCTGAATAAAAATGTCTTGGGTGGAAGGGAAAATTCAGGGAGGGAATGGGAATAAAAGAAAACGTGATTACAGACAAACTAAGAGCTGAACGTCTCAGAAGAAGTGCACTAAATTTATGCAATGGCAACAGTGGTCATGGAACCGCATGCTCCAGTTGTGGAAGACTTTTCTGAATGGGAAAATGTCTTGCTAGTCATTTGCACTGCCCCTCTGCAGTGCCCCTTAACAAGCACAGTTAAGGGGTTGCCAAAATCAGATGTTTTAGGCCAAAAGTGGAATAAATCGCAATTGAGCCGCAAACAACAGCACAATGTGCCAAATGCTCTTATTAATGTGTAAGCAAAATTAAAAGATCTGTCTTATTAAGAATTGGAACTCGAAATGTTTGACAACTTTTGTTGTAATAAATTGTGCAGTTTAATGATGTTGTTTCTCTGACAATTTCACAGGTTTTAAATTTGATGTACGTTGCTACGTAGCTGTCACTTCATATGACCCTCTGGTCATTTATATGTATGAGGAAGGCCTTACTAGATTTGCAACAGTCAAATATGAGAAGGACATGAAGTACTTACGAAATCAGTGCATGCACCTGACTAACTACAGCGTCAACAAGCGGAGCCAGTACTATGTGAGGTCAGGGGTTGCTTCCTTGCTTTCATCATCTGTTATAACACAGGTCTTTTTATTATCTTTTTTTATATATATGTATAATATGTATACATATATAATAAAACATTTGTGGTAGTTTGTTAAATATAGACAACCTTTTGCTTTCCAGGACATGATGATATCTGTGGGAAAATTTGCTTTGATTTCTCTCTCTCTTTCATTCAGTCTCTCCCTGTCTCTCGCCCTCTGTCTGTCTCTCATACACGCATGCATTACGCATGAACCCAATACATAATGTATGTTTGCACATATGTGTACAAGTGTAATATTAAATTATTATTTCTTTACACTGGTGTCAATGTTAACGTTCTCATCATGAATAAATATTGTTCTTCCCATCAAATGTCAGAACATACTCGTCCTGTCATTTAGTGATATGACATCACTATTTATGTCATCTTATGCCATGACTTTATGTCATGACCTTATTACTTTTCTGTTTTCTTATTTATGTCTTTATGACAATTCTGACATCCATCTGGCATCATGACAGTACCAACCACTATATTCATGATCAGTCAGTCAATCAGATGCCATCTCCACACTGAAGGTTGATTGCATGCATCTTCAACACATTCTGGCCTTTTCCCTGGATGTACACTCTCTTAGGCTGCTGTTTGTCCATCACTTGATGTTATCCTCCCATCTGTATCACTGCCTGCTTCTTGCTTGCTTGCCTTCAACTTTCCCCTCCCTTATGGTGTTTATAAAAGTAAAGCTAAAAAGTAAAGGATCCTTTTCCACACCTTCAGGCACATTGGGCATATAGGGCTTGACCCCTATTTTATAGACCAATCAACATTTGGTGGGTGATATGGCCAACATCATGCTGGCCATCTTTGCTTCCCAGGACTTTACCTGGTACCCATTTAAGGCTGGGTCAACCTGGGATCCAAGATCTCTTAAAAAAAAAAAAAAAGTGCAGCTCCTAAAGTCAAAAGTTAAAGTCGAGAGGATCGACTTCATTGCACCGGGTTTGATCCCATTTGGCTCGGTCTCTGTCCGCAGAATGGCTAGTTGCCTGCCAAGAGCATCGCACAGAGCACAAACTCTTTAGCTCTGGTGACAATCCCCAGGGATCTCCATAAACATTGCACTCCTGAACTGAATGACGCAGCTGTGAAACGAACCCATGACCTTCAGGCAAACAGCTTGACCACTTCGCCACCAGGACCTGACCCCATAACCCTTAGATCTGCAGGCGAGCGTCTGGCTGCTACGCTATGGTAGCTCCCCTTTTATAGGAAAGTTTATATCTTTTAATATGGCTGTGATGTGACACAGGTATCTTTTATTTCCTTCAACCACTGTCATTTCATTTCTAGTCTCCTCAAAACGTATTTTTCTGGTTCATTATTCTTTATAATGTTCAACTCTGAATCTAGAAATCATCATCTTGTAGCAGGTCCTTTGAAAGAAACTCGGTCTCTCGCCAGCTGTTCTGTCTCATAAACTTTTATATCCAAGAAGTCACTTATATCCTGTGCCCATCTTCGTTTTGATCAGCCTCAACCCCTCTTTCCAGGTGCCATGCCTTCTACTGTTTTTTTCTCTTAATCAATCGTGGTACTTGATATGGCTAAAATATTTTAACTTCTGAGACAAGATGTATGTTAGTCAGTCTTCCATGATGTTCAGATCTTTTAGGATGTCTGTATTTCTTTTCTTCTTTGTCCACAGTATTCTGATAATCTTCCTATGGCATTTAAGTTCAAAAGTTCCTTTTTTCTTCCTTAAAGACTGGGAGATAGTCAGTGAATCCCATCTGAATGTAGCCACAGGGAGGATGCATGCTCTCAAAATTGTAACTTTGATTTCCTTGCTGGTGCTTAACCATAGACCTTTAATATTGTTTAATCCAGAAATGCTGATGCAGATATAGAAAACTTTGGCAATAAATGGTCGATGAGTGCCATGTTGAGGCACTTGAGGTCGACAGGAAAGGACACAGCAGGTATGTAACATCACATATTTGTTGTTGTTGTGGTTTATTTATTCACGATAACATATTTAGGTTTCAGAGATGTGATACCATTTATGAGCCAGTTTTCTTTGGTTTTCAGCTTGAGGAGGCTTGAAATAAATACCTTAACAGTGGGATAGAAATGACAGTAACCACCCACTGTCTTGTAACCTGTCAGTATTGTTGTTGAGGATGTCAAGAGTGTTAAGCAAATGACATCACAGTGCAGATGAACATAGTGATGTCATAATGGCAGCTTAAAGATGGCCATCCCTTTTTGACATGTGCCAAAGAGAAGCAGGATTCTGTTATCCGTCTTGTTTTTAATCAGTGAAAGGGTAAAACCTATATTTGTTTCTCTTCTTGACCAAAGGTATTCTAACAAAATTGCAAAAACACTTAAGACAAATGTTTTGAGTTTCTTCTTTAATGATTATAAAGTAATTTGTTAGTCAGATCTGTATGTTGCCGCTGAAAAGATGCCATTTAAAAAATGTTACTTTTGTTTGTTACCCCAAAATATGATCTGCCAGTTATGATACACATAAGGAATACACATAACAATTCCACTTGTGAGCTGTACAGATTAGTACATAAAATGAACACATACATCTCAAAGCACATGAATAGCGACTAAACATCGAAGCCGCATAGTGAGTGGGGAGAGATAGAAACAGAATCGACTTAATTGCCCTGGGTTTTATTCCTTATAGCTGAGTCACCCTCCGCAGACTGGCCAGCTGAATGCCAAGAGCGTCACACGAAGCATAAACTTCCTAGCCCCAGTGATGATCCCCAGGGAGCTCCGCAAAAATGTCACTGGTGAACTGCACAACTTAGATTGTGAAATAAACCAATGAACCCACTCCCTTCAGAGCACTAAGCACAGACTCTTTGACCACTTTGCCGCAGAGATTCCCCCACCCAGTGATGTGATAGATTGTTAAAGGACTATGATATTATTTAAATTCTATAATGTATTTTCTCTCATCAGCTCTGATGATGCAGATTGAAAACATTGTCATCAAAACTATCCTGTCTGCGGAATCATCCATTGTTGCAGCATGCAATATGCATCAGCCATTTAGAGGCAACTGTTTTGGTCGGTACTTTTACCATCAGTTAGCTTTAGGAATCTGTATTTTGTCTAAAAAAAATGTTTATCTCATTTTTGCAAATATCTAGTTTGTATTTTATCTAGCATCTGAGTGGGTGGAAACTGGTGGAGAAAATGTTGAGTGGGTGGAAACTGGTAGAGAAAATGTTGAGTGGGTGGAAACGGAGAAAATGTTGAGTGGGTGGAAACTGGTGGAGAAAATGTTGAGTGGGTGGAAACGTAGAGAAAATGTTGAGTGGGTGGAAACTGGTAGAGAAAATGTTGAGTGGGTGGAAACGGAGAAAATATTGAGTGGGGGGAACTGGTGGAGAAAAGGTTGAGTGGGTGGAAACGGAGAAAATGTTGAGTGGGTGGAAACGGAGAAAATGTTGAGTGGGTGGAAACTGATGGAGAAAATGTTGAGTGGGGGGAAACTGGTGGAGAAAATGTTGAGTGGGGGGAAACTGGTGGAGAAAATGTTGAGTGGGGGGAAACTGGTGGAGAAAATGTTGAGTGGGTGGAAACTGGTGGAGAAAATGTTGAGTTGAGGGAAACAGAGAGACAATGTATAGAGTCCCTGTGTGGGTTCTAGGGTCCCATTGTGGGGAAAACAAGAACAGACCCACTGCCTCCCCACCATGTGTGTCATAAGAGTCAACTAAGTGGGGACTTCCTTTAAAGTCATAGTGCATCTACCTGAGAGGCCAGGAACTAACAGTCTGCATACAAATATATCAGATCTGAAAAAATGGATGTGCATCCAACACTCTGATTTTGGAACAAGACTGAATCCAGAGGTGGATGAAAAATCTGCATTTTCTGCTGGAGTTTACATCCAGTGAATCGTGAAGAAGAAAAAGAAATGTTTAGAGGACAGGTGTTTTTGAAGGCAACTAATCACTTGTAGGAATGGAATATGATAATGGTGAACTTCTTCACTGTGAGGAAATACTTGGACATATAGTCTTTAAAACTAATCCTTTAATAACATGTTCCCAACAAATTCCCTGAATTGCCAGATACCAGAAATAGTAACCAATGGGAAGGCTAAACCGAGCTTCAGATGCCTGCAGAAGTTGGATGTGTCGGCCAAAAGGTGCAAATATCGCAGATATGTTGTAAACAACCACAACACACCTACATCTTCAGAGTAATGCAAAAGAAGGCAAAAGGAAATAGAAAACAGAATCTATCATGTATTTGTTATGTTTGCCTGTGTACGTGTTTGTGTTCATGCATGTGTGCATATGTGTGTGTGGGTTCATAACATAGTGAGAGAGAAAGAGAGAAAGAGATAGAAGTGAAATATTTAAGTGCATTTTTGTTTCTCTTCCTAGAACTCTACGGTTTTGACATTCTTATAGATGAACATTTGAAGCCCTGGGTTCTAGAAGTAAATTTCTCCCCTTCCCTGGCATGGTAAGGGTAATTCTCTCTCCCCCCCCCCCTCCCCCCCACCTAAATCTTTATCATTCTTCTCTCTTCTCTCATTGCTTTACAATATTTTTTCTTTGCCTTTTTCTGTATTCTAGTTTTATGCTTCTTCAATTATTCATAATTGTGTCTTTTTAAATATATGTAAACAGCTTCCATTTTGAAAACAAACAAATGCCAGAGGAAATATTTGAACAACAAATGGGATGATGAATTCAAGAGGAGTGAAGAAATGAAAGAAATGTTTGGACAGGCGTTAGTATCAATATTTATAAGTCACAGAAGGTGGCGCTGTATTGGGTACATCCTAAAGGTGGCACTGTATTGGGTACATCCTAAAGGTGGCACTGTATTGGGTACATCCTAAAGGTGGTGATGTATTGGGTACATCCTAAAGGTGGTGATGTATTGGGTACATCCTAAAGGTGGCGCTGTATTGGGTACATCCTAAAGGTGGCGATGTATTGGGTACATCCTAAAGGTGGTACTGTATTGGGTACATCCTAAAGGTGGTACTGTATTGGGTACATCCTAAAGGTGGCACTGTATTGGGTACATCCTAAAGGTGGTGATGTAGTGGGTACATCCTAAAGGTGGCGCTGTATTGGGTACATCCTAAAGGTGGTACTGTATTGGGTACATCCTAAAGGTGGTGATGTATTGGGTACATCCTAAAGGTGGCGCTGTATTGGGTACATCCTAAAGGTGGCGATGTATTGGGTACATCCTAAAGGTGGTACTGTATTGGGTACATCCTAAAGGTGGTACTGTATTGGGTACATCCTAAAGGTGGCGCTGTATTGGGTACATCCTAAGGGTGGTGATGTATTGGGTACATCCTAAAGGTGGTACTGTATTGGGTACATCCTAAAGGTGGTACTGTATTGGGTACATCCTAAAGGTGGTACTGTATTGGGTACATCCTAAAGGTGGCGCTGTATTGGGTACATCCTAAAGGTGGTACTGTATTGGGTACATCCTAAAGGTGGTACTGTATTGGGTACATCCTAAAGGTGGCGATGTATTGGGTACATCCTAAAGGTGGTACTGTATTGGGTACATCCTAAAGGTGGTACTGTATTGGGTACATCCTAAAGGTGGCGCTGTATTGGGTACATCCTAAGGGTGGTGATGTATCGGGTACATCCTAAAGGTGGCGCTGTATTGGGTACATCCTAAAGGTGGCGCTGTATTGGGTACATCCTAAAGGTGGCGCTGTATTGGGTACATCCTAAGGGTGGCGCTGTATTGGGTACATCCTAAAGGTGGCACTGTATTGGGTACATCCTAAAGGTGGTGATGTATTGGGTACATCCTAAAGGTGGTGATGTATTGGGTACATCATAAAGGTGGCGCTGTATTGGGTACATCCTAAAGGTGGCGCTGTATTGGGTACATCCTAAAGGTGGTGATGTATTGGGTACATCATAAAGGTGGCGCTGTATTGGGTACATCATAAAGGTGGCGATGTATCGGGTACATCATAAAGGTGGTGATGTATTGGGTACATCCTAAGGGTGGTGATGTATCGGGTACATCATAAAGGTGGCGCTGTATTGGGTACATCCTTAGAAGAAGTGAACAGAGAATCACAAAATAGGCACTAAAATGGGAAACAGATTAAGGAAAGGAGGACATTAAAACAAAGATTGCTAAAAGAAACCAAAGTTGCTAGACTGGATTCGGTCAATGATATATCTAAAGGACTGCACAGGATAAAACAGAAAAGCCAGGAAGGCTAACTTGGGCATAAATGCCTGCAGAAGTTGGCCATGTTGGCGTAGATATTGCAGCTATGTTGTAAAGGGGCACAACACATTTAGGGGGCCGCATTAGCGCAGTCAATACGAAGCTCGCTTTCAAATCCAGCTGCGACTCGCTGCAGCCCACGGTCGGTGTTCGAAACCGGGGGGCTCCCGTGATTCACCCTGCCTCTAGGAAATGGGCACCAGAGTTGACACTCTGGGGTAAATGGAGGAACGTCGCTGAAGCTACAGAGTTTCATGCGAACGGCGACACAGGCGGACAATTCTCCTGAATTTACCTTCACCTTTACAACACATTGACGTCTTCCGTCTTTGGATGAGCACATAAAAAGAACAGAACAGAGGACTAGACTGTGAGCCTCTGTGGCGTGTAATGAGGTGACTACGTGATCATGATGATGATGATGATGATGAAGGGTTTCTGTGATATGAATGCTGTCATGATAACATCATTTGATTCATTCATATTGATGTGAAAACTACCATCATAACATCATTTGATTATTTCATATTGATGTGAATACTGTCATCATAACATCATTGGATTCTCTAATTTTGACGTGAATACTGTCATCAGAACATCATTTGATTGTTTTATATTGATGGGAATACTGTCATCAAAACATCATTTTATTATTTTATATTGATGGGAATACTGTCATCAGAACATCATTTGATTGTTTTATATTGATGGGAATACTGTCATCAGAACATCATTTTATTGTTTTATATTGATGTGAATACTGTCATCAGAACATCATTTTATTATTTTATATTGATGTGAATACTGTCATCAGAACATCATTTTATTGTTTTATATTGATGGGAATACTGTCATCAGAACATCATTTTATTATTTTATATTGATGGGAATACTGTCATCAAAACATCATTTTTTAAATTTCATATTGATGTGAATACTGTCATCATAACATCATATGTAGATGGGTGGATGTGTGAATGTTCAATAACTTTTTATTTTTGTGTAACTTAATTACGTTTAATTTAAGTAAATTTTGTTGTATGTATGTGTTTATATATATATATGTGAGTGTATAAAATTATTATATTCAGTTGTACTGCTTTTTTTAAATGTTAATAATTGTGTTTATATTTTTCCAGCGATACTCCTCTTGATTTGAAAATAAAGAGCAACATGTTGTGTGATTTATTCAGTTTGGTGGGTGAGTATGACAGTTTGATTTACTCTTCCATGGTGACTTATGTTTTAATAGAGCTGTCACTGGCTAGCGTTCATGAGGTGCCCTGTGCTTTAACAAGAGAATCGTGATACTGTCTACAAATAAACTTATGTAGCATGAGGAAAGAAATCATGCAGCTGCGACTGTCAGAGTCAGCAGTCTCATTTGGTACTGGCCGGAAGGATTGTGGTGTATGAGGAATTAGAAGCATGTGAAACATCTGGCCCCTGAAACTATCAATGTCCATACTCTTTGACATCTTCTAGAAGAGATGGGGTATAAATGGGGATGTTTTAAGCATTGAGTTGTCTGTGAATGTATGAAGTTTCTTAAATTCTTTGCCAGATTATCTTAGGCCATTCTTCTTCTTCTTCTTCTTCTGCGTTCATCCAAAGATGTATTTGTGTTCTATCCGGTTTACAGCATGGCTGGGATATTTGCACCTTTCGGCCAACACATCTGACTTCTGCGGGCATTTGTTGAATGGGTTAGCCTTCCCGGTTCTTAGGCCATCCTGTCTTCCACCTTTCTTGTGGAAGCCATGCTACCACAGTTGAAGTGGTAATAGTTTCCTGTAGATGTAACCAATCAAATTTCAGTTTCTGCTTGTTATTATTGTATTTTTATAAATCTTTTTGTTCCATTATTTAATGCTGTCTTGCTGATTAAGTTCTCATAAAAAATTAGAATTCACCTTCAGTAGATTAAACTGAAAGATGACAATCAATGCACACAGTGAATTTACACTGGATACTTTTCTTCTGGTTTGTATTTAATTTGTCAGATGCAGTAACTTTTTTTTCCTCATTTTCCCCAGGTGTTATTTGCCAGGATCCAACAGCAAAAAGATGGATAAAATCTACCAGACAGAGAAGAATCATAGACAAAACTACTGGAAAATCAGCAGTGGGTGTTTGACAGTGTTTCATACATTTTCCTCTGCCAGATTTTGGCCAGCGTTCCAGATTAATATCATATTATAATGTTTGATATTGGCATGTTTGATTTAGGGCTATGTTAGAACAAATAAGACAGACAAAAGATTGCACAGTTTATTGTCTGGTACATTTCACTCTATCTCATTAGGTGTATGCTACAACAATAAATATGATGAACCGAACAAAAACAATTGTTTTTAATGAAACACATCAGCATGACATGATTACATGGATCCACGTGGGAAAACTGTCCGGTATATGCAGGAGTGCCAGGCAATGAAAGAGTGGATGTTTTAGCTACAACAGCGATAGCTATAGGCAGGGCATAAGCTACAGCTTAGGTCCTCACAGTCTGCAGGGGCCTCAACAAATTTAATTTTTTTGGTTCACAAATGCAATTTTTGATACAGGTCGTGATAAGCGACCCAGGATTAGAGTAATTTCCCTTGCCATTCATGCTTCCTTAGGTCGCTGGAACTCTCCTATGCTGCAGGGGAGTCATGTCTTCCTTATTATGAACGCTTTAACTGTTGCCTCTGTTCTCCTATTCTCACTGCTCGCTTGCGTGAATATTTTCACGTTCTGCTATCTCCGCAACGGTTCGGGAGTATTGAAACAGCGATATTTTTTTGTTCATACGCCCCTTGTAACTGTTTTCTTTCTCTCGGGCATGAGCCACCGCCGAGTAAAGAAATAGAAAAACATCTCAGTTTCGATAGCCAAGAATCGTTGCGCTTGCGGCGCTTTCCCCTACAGTACTTTTTACCTGTACTCAGGTGCATTTGGCGCCTGAAATAGACTGACAACAACGCAACCTCCCACAAACATTACATACTTGAGCGAACGCCAAAACAAGCCATATCATAACACCCCTGCAACAAAGGAGAGGTCCAGTGACCTAAGGAGGAATGAATGGCATGGGAAGTTACTCTAATCCTGAGCTGCTTATCGCGATCAGTTCCCAATTTTCTATTCACAGCACCTTCAAGAGAATTATATAATATAATTTCTGTAATTTTGCAGACACATTTTTAATTATTTATTTTATACAAAATTAAACAATATATTTCCATTGTCATCAAATTTAATGGGCATATATATTTTAAAGTTTGAAGATATTAGATGATGTTTTTTAAAACAATAGGGGCTTCATGGCTTAACATAGCTTAGGACCTGGTCTGAATGCCTTGGCTGGACAAAGGAGACATTCTGATTAGTTAGTTAGTCTTTCCTCTTGTGTCAAGTGCGGCACATAGGTCAGAGGTCATGACTCTCCATGTATGGCGGTTCGTTGCAATCTGTTGTAGGTCTTGGATGTTTGAGTGGCCCATGAGTGAGCCTTCCCTGATGATAGTTCTACGTAGGGTTTCCCTTGGTCTTCCACGAGAGAGAGACATTCTGATAACTATAATAAATGCAGACTGAAGACACAAGGTTAGATGCAATAACATATGAAAGAATTTCTGAATTTAGAATTAGGAGTGGATCCAGCAAAGAGGGACGTGTGAGAGGAAAAGAACGATGTGTGTGATTATTGTACTATGGGAACAGTCAGAATCTAAACCTTAACATGTTTGTTGCTGGAGGTTGAACATCTATAGGCATGCCCAGTGTGCTGTGATGTAGTTACTTAAAACTAATGAAATACAAAACACACAGACACAAACTCTCAAATGTAAGTGCCTGTATTGCTAGAACAGTTGCAAGCTGACCACCAAACACACAAACTCTCAAATGTAAGTGCCTGTATTGCTAGAACAGTTGCAAGCTGACTACCAAACACACAGACACAAACTCTCAAATATAAGTGGCTGTATTGCTAGAGCAGTTGCAAGCTGACCACCAAACACACAGACACAAACTCTCAAATGTAAGTGCCTGTATTGCTAGAACAGTTGCAAGCTGACCACCAAACACACAAACTCTCATATGTAAGTGCCTGTATTGCTAGAACAGTTGCAAGCTGACTACCAAACACACAGACACAAACTCTCAAATGTAAGTGCCTGTATTGCTAGAACAGTTGCAAGCTGACTACCAAACACACAGACACAAACTCTCAAATGTAAGTGCCTGTATTGCTAGAGCAATTGCAAACTGACCACCAAATACACAAATTCTCAATATAAGTGCCTGTATTGCTAGAGCAATTGCAAGCTGACCACCAAACACACAAACTCTCAAATGTAAGTGCCTGTATTGCTCGAACAGTTCCAAGCTGACCACCAAACACACAAACTCTCAAATATAAGTGCCTGTATTGCTAGAACAGTTGCAAGCTGACCACCAAACACACAGACACAAACTCTCAAATGCAAGTGCCTGTATTGCTAGAACAGTTGCAAGCTGACCACCAAACACACAGACACAAACTCTCAAATATAAGTGCCTGTATTGCTAGAACAGTTGCAAGCTGACCACCAAACACACAGACACAAACTCTCAAATGTAAGTGCCTGTATTGCTAGAACAGTTGCAAGCTGACTACCAAACACACAGACACAAACTCTCAAATGTAAGTGCCTGTATTGCTAGAACAGTTGCAAGCTGACCACCAAACACACAAACTCTCAAATGTAAGTGCCTGTATTGCTAGAGCAATTGCAAACTGACCACCAAACACACAAACTCTCAATATAAGTGCCTGTATTGCTAGAGCAATTGCAAGCTGACCACCAAACACACAAACTCTCAAATATAAGTGCCTGTATTGCTAGAACAGTTGCAAGCTGACCACCAAACACACAGACACAAACTCTCAAATGTAAGTGCCTGTATTGCTAGAACAGTTGCAAGCTAACCACCAAACACACAGACACAAACTCTCAAATGTAAGTGCCTGTATTGCTAGAACAGTTGCAAGCTGACCACCAAACACACAAACTCTCAAATGTAAGTGCCTGTATTGCTAGAACAGTTGCAAGCTGACCACCAAACACACAAACTCTCAAATATAAGTGCCTGTATTGCTAGAACAGTTGCAAGCTGACCACCAAACACACAGACACAAACTCTCAAATGCAAGTGCCTGTATTGCTAGAACAGTTGCAAGCTGACCACCAAACACACAGACACAAACTCTCAAATATAAGTGCCTGTATTGCTAGAACAGTTGCAAGCTGACTACCAAACACACAGACACAAACTCTCAAATGTAAGTGCCTGTATTGCTAGAACAGTTGCAAGCTGACTACCAAACACACAGACACAAACTCTCAAATGTAAGTGCCTGTATTGCTAGAACAGTTGCAAGCTGACCACCAAACACACAAACTCTCATATGTAAGTGCCTGTATTGCTAGAACAGTTGCAAGCTGACCACCAAACACACAGACACAAACTCTCAAATGTAAGTGGCTGTATTGCTAGAACAGTTGCAAGCTGACCACCAAACACACAGACACAAACTCTCAAATGTAAGTGCCTGTATTGCTAGAACAGTTGCAAGCTGACCACCAAACACACAGACACAAACTCTCATATGTAAGTGCCTGTATTGCTAGAACAGTTGCAAGCTGACCACCAAACACACAGACACAAACTCTCAAATGTAAGTGCCTGTATTGCTAGAACAGTTGCAAGCTGACCAGCAAATCTTTCTGTTTACATTGCTGTGGGTGCTGGTGAAGATGCTTCTTTTCTCCAGACCCAGTTCTACCTTTCAGTGTCAGGTTTGGAAGAGGCATATTGGTCTGTGCTGCTTTGAAGCTGGTGTTCACGACTTCAGATATTCCACCTATCCATGGGCGACCTCTAGATCTGCTTCCTTTGTATCTAAGTAACAGTATTCTCTGTGATATACTGTCCTGTGGCAGTCTTGATACATGTCCAAACCATTTGACCTCTTGTCTTTTGAGGTAGTTTAGCTCTGGTTCCATCCTCACTTGTTTCCTGATATTATCGTTTCTGATCCTATTTTTAGGCACTAGTGAAGACCACAGAGAAATATAAATGGGTGTAAATTTAAGGGATCTGAAAGAGGAGAGAGTACTTGGGGGAGGATTGGATGATCAGATTTAGAGCTGGTGGTTGATGGAGAATTGAGTGACTGAGGAAGAAGCAGTTGACCAAGAGAGGATTAGATGACAGAGAAAAGAGTGGGTAATCAGTGGTGGCTGGATTGAGTGGTTCCTAGAGAAGTGAGTGATTGAAGAGCAAAGAGACAAGAGAGGATTGGGTGATAGAGAAAAGAGTGAGTAATCAGTTGTGTGTGGATTGAGTGGTTGCTAGAGAAGTGAGTGATTGAGGAAGGAGCAGTAGGCCAAGATAGGATTAGATGACAGAGAAAAGAGTGGGTAATCAGTGGTGGGTGGATTGAGTGGTTGCTAGAGAAGTGAGTGGTTGAGGAGCAAATGGCCAAGAGAGGATTGGGTGGCATAAGAAAGAGTGGGTAATCAGTGGTGGGTGGAGTGAGTGGTTGCTAGAGAAGTGAGTGATTGAGGATGGAGCAGTTGACCAAGAGAGGACTGGGTGACAGAGAAAAGAGTGGGTAATCAGTGGTGGGTGGATTCGTTAAGAAAGGAGTCGTAGACCAAGGCAGGATCAGGTGACATATCAGTGGTCTGCTTGCTGTGTCCTCAGACAACACTACTGCCTGGGAAACCAGAATCAGAAGAGAAGGATTTAAACATTCACATGACTGGTCTCAACAGCGAGGAAATCAAGATTCTGCGCAGAGTCAAGGAAGAAGAATCCAGAAAGGGTGGTTGGATCCGGATTTTCCCAAGTGCTGATAGCTGGGACAAATATGGGTTAGTAGTTGTATTCCTAGTGTCTTCCTTTGAGGGTTTCTCTCACTATTTGGGGAAGGGCGGGGGGGGGGGGGGGGGGGAGATCAGTGGCTGGCACTGACATCATGACACCCTTTGAGAGTATAGCCTTAATAATCAAGAATCAGTGGTTTTATGGATATTCCCACACACATTCAACTGAATGAATGAATCAAGAATCAATGCACTCATGAGATTTCCACACATTCAACTGAATGAACGAATCAAGAATCAATGCACTGTAGATTCCCACACAGTCAGCTGAATGAATGAATCAAGAATCAATGCACTGCAGATTCCCACACAGTCAGCTGAATGAACGAATCAAGAATCAATGCACTGTAGATTCCCACACAGTCAGCTGAATGAACAAATCAAGAATCAATGCACTGTAGATTCCCACACAGTCAGCTGAATGAATGAATCAGGAATCAATGCACTGTAGATTCCCACACAGTCAGCTGAATGAATGAATCAAGAATCAATGCACTGTAGATTCCCACACAGTCAGCTGAATGAATGAATCTAGAATCAATGCACTGTAGATTCCCACACAGTCAGCTGAATTAATGAATCTAGAATCAATGCACTGTAGATTCCCACACAGTCAGCTGAATTAATGAATCTAGAATCAATGCACTGTAGATTCCCACACAGTCAGCTGAATTAATGAATCAAGAATCAATGCACTGTAGATTCCCACACAGTCAGCTGAATGAATGAATCAAGAATCAATGCACTGTAGATTCCCACACAGTCAGCTGAATGAATGAATCAAGAATCAATGCACTGTAGATTCCCACACAGTCAGCTGAATTAATGAATCTAGAATCAAAACACTGTAGATTCCCACACAGTCAGCTGAATGAATGAATCTAGAATCAATGCACTCTGAAGATTCCCACACAGTCAAAATCAACAAAAGACGGTCTGCTGCCAAATCACCTGCAGCTAGGATTGACCTTGGCATTACGGAGCACATTCATAATGCCTAAGCCACAGGTGCTGACGCCTGCAATAGCTAGATTGCAGCTGAATAATATTCCTTTCTTGTGAGTTCCGAGGCTCCATTGGGAGAAGGAAGTGTGTGAAAAGATTTACTCCATGCCCCTCATAAGCCTGTCATTAAAGGCGATTATTTAGGAGTTTGTGGACTCAGATGTGTCATAGTGATGATAATCTCAAGTGAAGAAACTGGAGCCACTGGAGAAAAGAATCTGAGATCAGATGAGACAATTCTGTGTAGAGAACTGTGACAGTAAGTACAGGGCAACATGAATATAAACAAGGGCACAGAACTGTGACAGTAAGTACAGGGCGACATGAATATAAACAAGGGCACAGAACTGTTGCAGTAACAACAGGGCAACATGAATATAAACAAGCGCACAGAACTGTTGCAGTAAGTACAGGGCAACATGAATATAAACAAGGGCACAGAACTGTGACAGTAGGAACAGGGCAACATGAATATAAACAAGGGCACAGAACTGTGACAGTAAGAACAGGGCAACATGAATATAAACAAGGGCACAGAACTATGACAGTAAGAACAGGGCAACATGAATATAAACAAGGGCACAGAACTGTGACAGTAGGAACAGGGCAACATGAATATAAACAAGTGCACAGAACTGACAGTAAGAACAGGGCAACATGAATATAAATGAGCGCACAGAACTGTTGCAGTAACAACAGGGCAGGGTGAATATAAACGAGTGCACAGAACTGTGACAGTAAGAACAGGGCAACATGAATATAAATTAGGGCACAGAACTGTTGCAGTAACAACAGGGCAGGGTGAAAATAAATGAGTGCACAGAACTGTGACAGTAAGAACAGGGCAACATGAATATAGACAAGTGCACAGAACTGTGACAGTTGGAATAAGAATGCTGTCAAGAATATTGTCTGTACTGGCAGCAGCCGTTATGTATCTGCAAGATGCTTGCCTCAGACCTAAAGGTTCTAGGACACAATCTACATCATGTCAGATTTTTTTCAGAAACGACCTTGACTCCCATGTCGACCTAGCCTAAAATGGCCATCAAGTAAAGTCCTGGGAAGTAAAGGTGACCGGCTTGATGTGGAGCACCTCACCCACCGAGTGCCGATTGGTCTATAAAATGCAGATCTAGCACCATATGCCCAGTATGTATGAAGGCCTGGAAGAGGGCCCTTTACTCTCTGTATTTTCTAGCTGAGGGGGTGGAGGTGGGGGTGTGAGCCTGAGGATTCAAGGCCACATGGCAAGTGCAGCAGCAACAAGCTGTGCATGTTGGGATGTTTATATTTTTGTTTTTGCTCAGGATAGAACACAATCTTCATCCCCTACCCAGGGTCAGACCTGCAAAAGAGACCTGAGCTCTACCCACTCTGCCAGCCACTTCTCTAGAACAGTACTACTCATGAGTATAAATGAGGTGTACAAGTAAACACTTGAGAATCCTTGATCCATTTATTGAGACTTTGAAGAATGTGTTTGTATTTTGCAGACATTTTTTACATTCCCCCGATGCACACAACTTAATGTTACATCAGAGACTCTTTCCTGACAGGTAATTAGTTATTTAAAAACAGTTATCGCCAAGTTCATTTATTTGAATTGTCTTTTTAAAATTAAAATGTGTTTTCAATGACAAATATATTTATTGTGGGCAGGACTGCCCCACTTGTCATAAAGTCTTGGCCTTCTTTCTGTATTACTATTGATTATCAACTTCTCCAAAGTAGACAAATTCAGCTTACGGAACACGCTCTCAAAGAAACCAAGAATTACAGAAACTCAGGAAGCATAATATCATCAGCTGGCAAATCAGAAGATGAGATTGATAACAGATGTAGCAGAGCAAACTAACTTAGTAGGGAAATGGCACCAGTACTCAGAAACAAACGTGATGTCAGTAGAAACCATAAGAGCAGTCTATGACACAATCTTCTTGCCAACTTTGTGCTATCACTGCCAGACCTGGACAGTGACAGAAAATAAGAAAAGACAAATTACAACTGAAATGAGATTCCTGTGAAGGGCTCTCAATATAATGAGAACAGTTTGGAAACAACAAAAGCTGAAGGAAAAGAGGGGGGGGGGGGGCAGCAGTAACTCTTGATTTTATTAGAAAACAACAAGGAAAATGGTTTGGCCATCTAACATGGATGCCAACAAACACTATACTACAGCAAGCAATGATGTACTCATCAGGCAGGAAGAGGCCAACCATTCATATTATTCACAGAGGAGATAACAGAGTCCCTGGAAATCCCCATTTACAAAGCACACAAACGGGCACTTTCCTGTGAATTCTACTTCACCTCGACACTGCAAGGTTTTTCTCTTGTACCACTCATTTGTTGCGGGTGGGAGCCCCAGTTGTCATATAGGCTTAACCCTCTTTATATATTTTTAGTCTTCTTCTCCTGTGTGTTCACCAGCTGTAAACTCTGGCAGAAAGTTCTGGTTGTTTGTCCACTTCTGGACTGTAGTCCTTTCCCACAACTTGAGGGTTGCATGTGTATCTATTTTACCATCTGACTCATTTGTATGTTGGTTCCATGCTTCTCAAGCAGATGCACTCCAACTTTGAAGGAAGCTTCCAGTTAGTCGATTCCTACGACATGCTTGATAGGGAGGCAGTGGGTCTGTTCTTGTTATCCCCACAATGGGACCCTGAACCACAATGAGGAATATATTACTAGTGATTATCAACTATTCAAACCATCCCCTAGGACTCTGGGCTGATTGCTACTGCAGTCCACAACTGGATAACTGGCTGCAGCAATCAAACCATTATCAACCAAATAGCTATATCACTAACGCTTCCAGGTGATTGGATCTGGGGAAACCTTGGTTAGGAGTCCAGTTCACTTTCTCGTGAGACTATAATTTAAACATTTACTTGAGTCAGTATATGTTTATTGTTTCAAAAACTTCCCAGCCATATTGTATGTGTTTATCGTTTCATTAACTTCCCAGCCATATTGTATGTGTTTATTGTTTCATAAACTTCCCAGCCGTATTGTATGTGTTTATTGTTTCATAAACTTCCCAGCCATATTGTATATGTTTATTGTTTCATGAACTTTCCAGCCATATTGTATGTGTTTATTGTTTCATAAACTTTTCAGCCAAAATGTATGTGTTTATTGTTTCATAAACTTTCCAGCTATATTGTATGTGTTTATTGTTTCATAAACTTCCCAGCCATATTGTATGTGTTTATTGTTTCATAAACTTCCCAGCCATATTGTATGTGTTTATTGTTTCATAAACTTTCCAGCCATATTGTATGTGTTTATTGTTTCATAAACTTCCCAGCCGTATTGTGTTTATTGTTTCATAAACTTCCCAGCCGTATTGTGTTTATTGTTTCATAAACTTCCCAGCCATATTGTATGTGGTAATTGTTTCATAAACTTCCCAGCCATATTGTATGTGTTTATTGTTTCATAAACTTCCCAGCCATATTGTATGTGGTAATTGTTTCATAAACTTCCCAGCCATATTGTGTGTGTTTATTGTTTCATAAACTTCCTAGCCATATTGTATGTGTTTAACAAGAATAATGTGAGCCGATGTGTTGTAGGGGCTAGATGCTCGCCTGTAGATTGAAAGGTTTTGGGTTCAGATCCTGACGGAGCCAGAATTATTTGTAAAAATATGACCTTGGCTCCCAGGTCGACCCAGCCTTAAATGAATACCAGGTAAAGTCCTGGGAAGTAAAGGTGGCCGGCATGATGTTAACCACATGACCTACAAAGTGCCGATTAGTCTATAAAATATAGGTCTAGCCCTATTTGCCCAGTACACCTGCAGGCATCATAAAGGATCCTTTACTTCTTTCAACAGGAATTTGTACAAAATCTGGCTGGGATAAATCATGCTGGCATCCATTTGTGTATCCTCTTTCACCCAGCTACAGAAACAGAAACAAAATGAAATGTTGAAAATGAATGCTATTTGCAACAAATATTCTTGCCACCAACACTTGCACATACATTATACATTGCTAGTTCAACATAATTGAGATGAAAGAAAATCTGATTTCAATTTACACAGACAAATAGGGACATCATCAGGCAAGACTTTGAGCATTTCTTCAGCAAAACAGTCCATGTCAAAGTAAGTTTGTGCTATATTTATGTCAGATTTTTTCTGTCTTTTGTTTTTACTGAAGCTTGTTATCTTCTTCTTCGTCATGTTCGCCAGCTGTAAACTCCCGCAGAAAGTTCTGGGTGTTTGTCCACCTTTGGACTTTAGTCTTGTTCCAGTACTTAAGTGTTGCTTGCATGCCAGAGTGTTGGGTGCACATCCGTTTCACACATCTGGCTTATTTGTAAGCAGACTTTTGGTTCCTTGCTTCTCAGGCAGAGGTACACCGACTTTGAAGGAGGCTACCTTTTAGTCGACCGCTTTGACATGTTTGTTGGTGAGGCAAGGGGTCTGTTCTTGTTTTCCCCACAATGGGATCCCAGAACCCACACGGAGAAATCCCATTATAATCTGGGAGGGTCTTAGTCTCTCTCAGCAGACAGCAGTTAGGTATATGCTTGGCTGATTAACTGATCGTGAAAACATCATTTCACAGATTTTATATTAGCAAAATATTTTGTACCAGATTTGTTTTATTAGAGTGACAATGTCTGCTGGTGTAAAACTGGTCTCTCTCTCTCTCTCTCTCTCTCTCTCTCTCTCTCTCTCTCTCTCTCTCTCTTTCTCTCTTTCTTTCTCTGTGTGTGTGTGTGTGTGCGCTCATGTGCACGAGAGAGAGAGAGAGAGAAAGAGAAATCAAGATCTCAGTTGGCTTAAAACTATGTGTTGTGTAAAAAAAAGTTGTGTGAGAGAGAGAGAGAGAGAGAGAGAATGAGTGAGTGAGTGAAAGAAATCAAGATATCTACTGGTTTAAAGCTAAACTACAATAAGTTTTATAATTCCCTGTGAATTACAGAGAGTGTGTGCTGGTCATATGTCACATAGTAATAGTAATTTCTACATGTGAAGTCCCTAACAGTTCATGACCTTTCACAAATACCATCTACAAGATTAATTTTAATCCATTTTTCCTCCAGAAATAAATTTCAGTCTTCTGCTGTGAGAAATGGGAAGGCTGGACAGGAGGTTAGAGATTTTTTTTTTAAATGTTTTTGTTTATTTGTTTGTTGTTTTCAACAAAATTAGGATTGCTTTTAATTTTGTTGGTATCATTCTTAATTGATTTCTTTTTCTCCTCCTTCTTCTCCCTCTTCTTCTTCTGTGTTTACCATAAGAGTGTGTTGGGGTTTACAGCTAGTCTTCAATATCTCTGCCTTTGGACCCATCTTTCAGCAAATCCTTCATTAGTCACCTTTTACAACCTACATGTTTAAATCCCCAAATGGGACCCTAGGATCCACATGGGGACTTAACTTATCCAGTTGTTCAGAAGCAGAAGGAGTCAACCACAACAATGGTGGACACAGGAAACAAAGACTCCGTTGCCATGAATGTTTGTGAGGAGGGAAAGGTCTTAGCTCTTTGACTCCCAAGGAATGCGTCATACGTTCAAAGAGTCCTACTTAGAAACCCATTGAACTCATGATGCACCGATTTTACGTCTCTCTTGACTACGCCTTGGGCCTGTGATGCTAAACCCACTGGGACTTAAAAGAGTTAGGAAACCAAATAGACTTGCAACTCGTTTTGATGCTATGAGTGCAGGGATTAGCCAGTAAGCATTACAGAATCAGAAATTCAAGAATTGATTCATGACAGTTCCCATCAAGGTGGTGTAATTATCTATACCAATGGCTCTGTGTTGAGAGGCAGAAGAAGTGTGTGGGGGTTCATTTCGAAGGCAAATGGACGACGCTTAGTGCAACAAGGTTTACTGTATGGTACTACAACACCTAGTTTGAGAAAAGAAGTGGAGGAAATATCAGCAGCATTCTGCTAGCTTGAGAACCACTGTATATACATGTTGTGATTGTAAATGAGCACAAAGCATTTTAATAAGAAAGGTGGAGACAGGAAGGCTCCGTGCAGAGTGGCAAGCATCGCTTCAGTAGTCTCGGGTAGTTAGCGTGCTTTGGATAGGTTCTTCAAGATATGCAGGAGTGTTAGGAAATGAACAAGCAGGCAGACTGACCAGTGGGTGGTGAATGTATACATGACAAGCTTGATATGACCAGGCGATCTGGCTGACACTCTACACTCACATGAAAAGTAAGGCAGACACTCTACACTCACATGAAAAGTAAGGTAGACACTCTACACTCACATGAAAAGTAAGGCAGACACTTTACACTCAAATGAAAAACAAGGCAGACACTCTACACTCACATGAAAAGTAAGGCAGAAACTCTACACTCACATGAAAAGTAAGGCAGAAACTCTACACTCACATGAAAAGTAAAGCAGAAACTCTACACTCACATGAAAAGTAAGGCAGAAACTCTACACTCACATGAAAAGTAAAGCAGAAACTCTACACTCACATGAAAAGTAAGGCAGAAACTCTACACTCTCATGAAAAGCAAAGCTGACACTCTACACTCACATGAAAAGTAAGGCATAAACTCTACA